TGGTTACCAATACAAACATAATTTAAAATAATAAAAATAAATAGTTGTGAAAACAAGATATGATATTAACCTGAGCGATCACCAGTGAGTGGATGACTGCAGGAACTAAAGACACAGCGAGGGCATGAGGACACCACGATGCTGACCTTAAACATGAGGCAATATAACCATGACAACAGTAGCGATGAACTTGAAGGATATTGTGTTCAATGAAATATACAAGAAACAAACAGATAAATACTCCCTGGCCTCACTCACATGTAGAATTAAGAAAAATAAAACTCATGAAAGTAGAGAGTAAGAACCATTATTATCAGTGGCTGGGAGGAACAGTGAGAGACCTGGAAAAATGTTTGTCTAAGAATACAAAATTTCATTTAGGGTAAGCCAGAGTGCTAGCATATGACACGGTTGAGCAACATCACTTAGTAACAGCCATTGTGGCTAAGATCAAAAACACAAATGACAACTCATGCTGGTGAGGATGTGGAGCAAGGTGCCACATCCATTGCTGATGGGAGTGCAAACTTGTACAACTACTTTGGAAAACAATAGGGTGGTTTCTCAGAAAATTGGGAATCCATCTACCTCAAGATTCAGCTACACCGCTCTTGGGCATATACCCAAAGGATGCTACAGTCTACCACAAGGACACTTGCTCAACTTGTTCTTAGGAGCTTCACGCCAGAACTTGGAAACAACCTAGATAAATGCCTGTTGTGGAATATTACTTTAACCATGTAAAAATGTGTTACATTTGTTTATGTTGCAGAATATTACTTAACTATGTGAAGATGTGTTACATTTGTTTATGCTGCATTTGTTTAATTATGTAAAGATGTGTTGCTGTTTTACCTTGCCTGCCTAAGGCACCTGATTGATCTCATAAGAAGCTGAATGGCCAATAGCTAGGCAGTAGAGGGACAGGCAGGGCTTGTGGGCAAAGAGAGTAAGTAGGGGGAAAAAAAAGAAGGGAGAAGAAGAGAGAACGAGGGAGAAGAAAAGGGAGATGTCCAGAGTCATCCAGGCAGCCACCAGACAGACAGACATGGAAAAAAAAAACAGGGAAGTAAGATATACAAAATGAAAGAAAGGTAAAAGGCCTGGAGGCAAAATGTAGATAAAGAGAAACAGATTTAAAAAACAGCTAAGATAGGGCCAAGCATTCAAGGCTAATAACAAATCTCTATGTCATGATTTGGGAGCTGGTTGGTGGACAAATAAAGCCGGCTACAGATGCCCCTCAACCAAAGAATGGATAAAGAGTATTACCAAGTATTTAGTATTACCAAGTATTACCCGGCTGTTAAAAAGTAATTTGCAGGCGAATGGATGGAACTGGAAAAGATCATTCTGAGTGAGGTAACCCAGACCCAGAAAAATAAGCATGGTATGTTCTCACTTATAAGTAGACATTAGCTTTAAAGTAAAGGATAATCATGCTACAATCCGCAAACCCAGAGAGGCTAAGTAACAAGGAGGGCTCAAGAGGAGATTCATGGATCTATCTAGGAAGGGGAACTAGAATAGATTTCAAGTATAGACTAGAAACAGGTGGAGATAGGAACAGAAGGAGGGATCAGGTTATGGGTGGAGGGAGAGCATTCTGGGAAAGACAAATGGAATCAGGGTGAATGTCTGGGTGAGGTAGAAACCTAGTGCAACAGAAACTCCCAGGAATCTACAAGGGTGGACCTAGGGAAGACTCCTAGTAATGGGGGACACAGGGATGAACGGGCCATCTTCTCTAACCAGGCAAGGCTTCTAGTAAAGTTATTGGGACAACAACCCTGCCACAAAATCTTCAACATACAGTTTGTCCTGCATGCAAGATGTGCTGGGGTAAAGGTGCATAAAACTTGTGGGAGTGGCCAACCAGTTGTGACTGGTCCAACATGAGACACATGCCATGACAGGGGGCACATGCCTGACACTACTGCTGGATAGAACCAAACACAACCGGGGAGCGGGGGTGTGGAGAAAGATAGGCTTCATCAAGCAACTGATGGGAACAGAAACAGAGACCCATAGCCAAACACTAGTCAGAGCTTGGGGAATCCAGTGGAAGAGGGGAGGAAGGACTGAAGGAGCCAGAGGGGTCAAGGACATCACAAGGAAACAGCCCACGGAATCAACTAACCAGAGCTTATAGAGACTTACAAAGACAGACCCGACAAACAGGGAGCCTGTATGGGTCTGACCCAGGTCCTCTGCATATATGTTATGGTTGTGTAGCTTAGTGTTCTTGTAGGACTACTGACAGGGGGAGCTGGGGGCTGTCTCTGACCCTTTGCCTGCTTTTAGGACCCTTTTCCTCCTACTGGGTTGCCTTGTCCAGCCTTGATATGAGGACATGTGCCTAGTCTTATTGTAACTTGATATGCTATGTTTTGTTGATATCCCTAGGAGGCCTGCCTTTTTCTGACAGGAAAGAAGGAGGAATGGATCTGGGAGAGAAGGGAGGGGGGGAGGACTGGGAGGAGAGGAGGAAGGGGAAACTGTGGCCTGGATGTAATATATGAGAGAAGAATAAATAAAAAAGAAAATATAATAGTCATTCCACAATGAATATATATTGTTTCGAAATATCATGCTGTGGTAGTATATTTACAACTTTTATTTATCAGTTTTAAATTAATTTTAAAGGAAAACTGGGAGATTAACAAAACAATTTGCTAACTGGTTATTTTATATAAACGTACAAGAAAACTCAGGCAAAGGGTAACTGTCAAACAGAAGGCTTGGAGCTCTGACTTACAGATCATTCTTCAAGAAAGGGCATAAAATTCTCAGAGAAGTGACAGGGACAAGGACCTACCATCTCCAGAGGCTGCAAACTGTGAGAAGTCAAGCATGTTGGAAGCTAGCGATGTGTTTGTTCTATACATTCTTCCAGTGCCTTCTCCAGGCTAACAAGGGTTTCTGGTCATCTCCAGCGATAAACATTTGTCCTGCCTGGTTATGAGGCAAAGGGAACATTTTTTTTAATTTGGGGGCAATTAAGGAGTAGGCAGAGAACTATCTTATGTACCCAAAGGACTCTTACATCAAATCAGGATGTTTATGTCTTTATTAAGAGGCAAGTTGATCATTTATACAGAGGTCTTGCATACTGGTTTTCACTTAGACCTCTGACCAATGCTGACACAAATCTGTCACATAGACAGGACAAATGATGTTAGTTCTCTACTTGCAAGACAGTGTCAGTAAGAGATAAAAGGGAGAAATGAAAGTTAATTTGCAAATTAAGAAAGTGTGTTTGCTGAGAGGACAAGGCTGGTTGCATGGTTGACTAGAGCTCAGACTTCAGCTTTCCTAGAGCCCATCTCCACCTCTTTATCAACTAGTGTAGCTAGTTCAATAGGAATAACTGGTAAGTAATGAACAAATTGGTGAAATTAACTCACGTTACTTTCATGTGTAACCAATGTGTTTACTTTCTCTAGGAGAAGAGGAAAAACCTCACTTGTTCTGAAGTTATTTTATACTGAGCTGGTACTCCAAAGTAGAGCTCATGAAGGTTAGCTCTCCAATATAGTTTTAATGTAAGCTAAACCTAGCAAATATTTTCGAGGGACCCAAGTGGCTATTTTCCTGTACTAATTTCTGTGTCTTAATTTTTGTTTTGAACTACAGGGAAACTAAAGTGTGGCACATGAACCTAAGCACCCAGTAAAATGAGAGTGCCCCCATTGGTCAATCTCCTTGCTCAAGCATGAATATGATTGTGAAGACCAGAGCTTGAGGAAATCCTTTTATGATGCTGGAGAGAGGTGTATACCCCTCCACACACATAGACGTCTTATGTGTTCCATTTGTTAGCAGCCATAACATGAAGGTAGCTTAGTGTACATGTGGTTTAAATGGTAACAGACATTGATGTTCTATTTTCGCAGTTGACTATCCTTAAAACAGTATT